TGGCGCTCAATCCAGCTCTTGGCTGGCTGGCTGGCTCATCTCCAAATCCCTCTTCGAAAGTTGAGGTGGGGAAGAGAGGAGGGGGGAGGGGGGGGGGAAAGAGGGCCGCAATGTGGCTGTCCTGGCTGGGGAAGGACACGCACAAGCGTGGGATGGACTTTGACCCAATCACCCGGGACGTCCCCCCCGAGGCGTCGGTGTGGGCAACCGCTCACTGGATTTGGAAACTTTCGGAGATGTGGGCATGGCATAGGCGCATGGGCTGACCTGAGGGCTTTGGTTGGTTGGTGATGACCTTGTCACTTCATCGCAGGCAAGAGAAGAAAAATGCGTGTGTGAGAGAGGGCTGTAAGCTGCAGCTTGCGGGTAACTTGATGCAGGTGATGATGGCTGTGAGGAGCATGTGGACAGAGCATGGGATGCCTACAGGCAGAGTAGAATATTGCATACGAAGTGTAGGGCAAAGTGCTGTTATTCTTTCGGCACGCAAGCAAGCAGACGGGCAAAATGTCCGCGAACAGGGAAAAAAAAAAAATTAAACTAGATAGTCTGGGCAAAATACTATACGAAACGGTGTTTCCGTCTGCACGTTCACTTTTATCTCAGTATATCGGCTCGGTCAGTGTAATCAGTGCCTTTACGCATCGGTCCCCGCGATGGTAGCATCGGCAGGAATTCCGTACGCGGCTTGGTAATTGCGATGTTGCTTTGGGCCATACTTTTAACAAGTGAAGTCCCGGAAAACAAAATGGAGTGGCTCCTCAGCTGCCATCCGACGCGGGCGATGCAGTCCATGCGCGCCATATCTGCAGCCTCGTAATGAAGGGTTGTCGTTCACCCCGTCGGCACCCAACAGGAGATGGTCTTTTTTTTTTAAAAAAAAATGCTTACCTGTATTACGTGCGAGTCTGTTCCAAGGCCGACGGTGCGCATATTGCTAACAGCCTGACCGGCGTCGGAGCGATTACTTTTACTCTATCGAGGACGATCGCAGAGATGGTGGATGGAAGATCAGGCCATAGAGGAGCATCCCTGCGTCGTTGGACCCCTAAAGTCCTAACAATTTTTGGCTGCAGGGCTCCAACAATGCTCCTCATCACCTGCTGCAGCTAAACACCGAGCTCTGGAAAATGTTTTCTTTTTTTTTCCCCCCCCGACCATAAGTATCACGGCGAATGCCGAAGTTTTATCAAGTCCCGTCGATGACGCATATCTCGCAAAATCGGGATCAACCCTCAGCCGGGAGGATGTCCTTTTAACAAATCCCCCGTCCGCACATCCACATTCACGGTGATACTAGTGCGGATTGGCAGGGGCGGCCCCGGACGGGGGGGCATGCACGCACAGAATCGGATCGGCAACGGAAGATGCTGATCAGGCTCTGGCCCCAGGGGAAATTCTCGCGATCGGTATGCGATGCGATAGGGATTTGTCCGGGATGTTGGCGGTGATGTTGACGTCAGAGAGATGTGTTGGAAGATAATAGATGCGCGTCGGTCATCTTAAGTAATCCGGCGTGTCTGGGGCGTTTTTGTTGCAAGTTTGCTGAATAGGGCAAACCGAAGTTTTCCCTTTTGTTTTCTTTTTCTGTTTTTTTCTAGAAGAGCCCTTTTCAATTCTCAGGTCACAGTCCTCAGTCAGGATTGAGACCTTCTCCCTTTTAGGGCCTGCCTGTCCAGGAGAGACAATGAATCGCGTCGGCAGGGACGCTGTTCCAGGCCCTATGGCGAGGTCGAAACGCAGGCAAAGTTCAAACCCACACAGTTCCGACCTGCCTCCGAGTCCGTCGCCGCCGCCGTTTCGCCTCAGACAAAGACGTTTGGGTTGGGTGCTGGGCCGGTGGTAGAGATGATGGCCCTAGCTCCGGCAAAGAGTTTCTGTGGTAAGCAGGTTCTGTGCCATGTCGGTGTAAGTGTTTGTATGAATGGGTATCAGAATACGGATCCGTATCTCGATAAGGTTTTTGTAAGCTGTAGAACACCTATGAGAGAGCCTATGAGAGTCTCGGGATGGACTGGGAAGTCTGCGACTAACTGGCGCTGGTCTCTCAGCATCTGCGCGGTGTCGGCGATGCTCTCTTCAAGCAGCAGAGGTAACAGCAACAACTAACTATGGCAATATACCATCACTGGATGGCGAATGCAGTTTCAACTCCAAGCATCTTGTCCCAGTTAGAAGAGGAGGTGTCCAACTGCGACTTGCTGGCGTTGCAGGTCCCAACGTCGAACCTGTTCAGGCCTTTGCTTGACCTTCCGCCTTTGTAACGGGCGGGTTACAACGCGGTACGAGCGAACCATGGAAGGCTACGGTCTGCCACATGCTTGCTCCGCATGTGCTCCGCGTATTGCTTTTTGCCCAAAACAGCGAACTTTGCACACTCGACGAGGCCAGGCGGTCGGTGGAACGAATGGAATGAAATCCTGTTGGTGGGCCAGCCAGGGACCGGAACCATGACGGTGGGTGGCGGAGGGAAAGGCGAAGGGGAAGAGAAGGTGGGGGGGGGGGTGTGCTTTTAATGAGGGCAGCCCGATCTTGCATTGTTACAGGTACCGCGTATAGATTACAGGTACCGTCACGACGACAAGTCGGGCTGTTGGTAATGCTGATGCAGTACAAAGATGCGATGCAGTGGCAGCTTTGAAGCCTGAAAACGACCAACTGCGCTGCCTCAGAATCCTCTAATCCTTCTTTCTCCAAGCTGTGCCAGCACCCTGCGGTCTGCATGTTCCAGGACAGCGTTGATGCTGCGGTGCCCTGAGGTGAACTCAATGCGATGCAATGGCGGCCAGTGACAGCCCATGACTCCAGCAATTGTTCCAAGTCCAGTTTTGGAAGATGAAAAAGGCCCACTCAAGGCCATGCAGCAAAACCTAGGCTCCGCGGGGGGCCCACACATTGGTCAAGACCTGACGAGAAGACGCGACGCCCCTGGCCCCCTGCCTGCGCTGATGTCCCAAGGGCCAAGTAGCCAAGCAAGGCAAGGCAGGCAAAGGGTTCGATGCAGGGCTTGCAGCAGCGCTGGGCGGTCTTGTCTGGGATGCACGACTTACACATTTTGCCATCGCATCCCTCGTTTCCGCCGTTCTAATGCACACCCGCCCTTTGGTGCTTGTACAGTGGTAGTTTTTATTCTCATCCTGTCCTGTCCTGTCCATGTCCATGTCTGTGTTAGGAGGGCCTAATACTTAATAATAATAGTACGTTGCTGCTGCAGCACTGCGCCCCGGCTTTTCTTCTGCTTTCTTTCCTGTTGCTTCTGCTCGTTTGCTTCTCTTTTGCTCTCTCCTCCTCTACACTCTCGTCTCACCTCACACCATCCGGCCTCTATCCCGACTACTGACCAGTCAGTAGTGACAACTGTCACTTGCTACTACTGCTGCTGCCATCTCATTTATTCTCGCTCTTTCTAGATACATTGAGCTCTGCGCGGCTGCTGTGCTGCACACCGTCCGTCTAGCGCCAGTGCCCGTGTCCAGTCACTCCCAACACCTCCGCGGTTCACGTTCACATTCACGCTTGCACTCGCAATCCGCCCTCGTTGACTTGTGCTGGTTTGTCGCATTGCGCCGTGCACATCGCACATCCACATCGCACATCCGCCTTGTCCTAGGGCCTCTGCTCTTGTCATAAACTGGACTCCCGACTCCTCCGACCCCGTCCTCGCTCAGGCTTCCGACTGCATCGATCTGCATTGGATTGACTGCACGCAGCCCCGGGTCCGTCGTCTGTCCGTCAATCAGTCCGTTAGTCCGTCGCACTCACCGACTCTGGCTGCCGTCGACCGCCCTTAATCAATTCGGCGCACACATCGCCCATCGCTCGTTCCGACCCATTACTGCGCCTGCTCCTGGCCGATTGAGCGCGCCAGTTGTATGAGGTCGCCTGCATGCAGACGTGCCCTTACTCTTAGACCAGACTCATCACTCCGACATCAACCAACCCAGCCCTCAGACTCGCCCATGCGACTGTGCTGATTGAATTCTCTGTGAAGCTTGATTTGGCCCGCTGCATTGCTGCATCTGCTTCTTCTGCTTGATTGTGGTGCAAGGTGGTTGAACCATTGGCTCTGACCTCTCTCTCCTTTTCTTTTCTTTTCCTTTTTTTTTGTGTGTGTGTATCTCTCTCTCTCTCTNTCTNTCTCTCTCTCTCTCTCTCTCTCTCTCTCTCTCTCTCTCTCTCTACTCTTCTTTCTTTCGTAGTACTAACCTACCTACCTTACGTTACGGTTAACCGTTACCTTTACCTTACTTTACTTCTCGACGAAACACACACACACACACACACACACACACACACACACACACACACACACACACGCGCGCGCGCGCACACGCACACATACACACAACCACATTCTCCGCGACACACGGTCACTGGTTCACCCAAGCTTGAGTTTGCTGCTCCCGCCCACCAGCAGCTACTGTGCCCGTCTTTGAGCGGCTTCAACTACAGCAAGCACTAATCACTAGGAAAAGAGTCGATACAATCAGCCATTCTCTGTCTCCTCTGAAGGCCGGATCCTTGCAGGTAAGCCCCTCTTTATGCTACTTGTTGCCCATTTGCACTTCACAGGTTCCTCCTTGCGTCTGATCCGACCAAAGGCAGGTTACTGTGATGAGGGCTCTGCACCCTGCAGCCTGCCGCTCTCACGAGACCCTCGCCTCCGGATTGTGTCCCCCACGCCTTTGTTTGTTGCTGCACACTGAACACTGCGCACTGCGCTGGCCCTGCTTCGTTGCAATTGCAAGTTGCAGGTGCATCCTTTTTATCCTCAGTCCTTTTCCTGCTTTCGAGTACAGCCTCTGTGCGCTGCAGCAATGCTGACTGTCCGCCTAGTTGTGCTTGTGTCCCCTTCTATAAATTAAAGCGACACCGCTGGTGTTGCCCTGTCGTCACTTATATCCGGGCGTCCTCATTTCCTGGTTTACCTAGATTCTGATCAAATTTGGCTACCCTTTTTTTTTAAAAAAGAAAAAAAATTTCAAAATCCACATTAAGCCATGGGCGATCAAGGAGGCCTCGAGAGCCATATGCCCAGCCACAGGAGACAGGATTCGGCCGAGGAGCCGATTCCCTCAGAGCCGGCTCCCGAGACGAGGAGTAAAACCTCCGACCCCGATTCCCAGAACATGCCGACACCCCCTCAGAACCTGCCCCGTGGCTCGATCAGCCAACCATCCTCAGTACAAGATGCGCCAGTACCGACGCGGACACCAACATTATCCAGAAACCCGTCAACCTGCTCGACAAGATCAAGTACTAAGCCACAACAACAAGAATATCTGCCTGCACAGACACAACAACAACAACAACAACAACAACAACAACAACAACAACCGACAGATCACCGGTCGCATCTCGAGCCCGCCCCTCCTGCCTACCCCCTCGAGCCCCCTGTGACCAAGACGACCCTCAGCGAGCTCGATGTCCAGAAGATCGTGCACAACCCAAAGCTGCGGCACGATATCAATTTCGATCCTGATCTGCACTTTAGGCCGAACACAGATGGCGAGAAGGGGAGGAGGAAACAGGAACGCGCCAACCACTTCTGGCAGACCCTGCATGATCAAATCATCCTGTTCGTCACAAACAGGAATCTGTTCCACAGCACATATGGTTATGGTGACTGGTGTCTGCCGACGTTGTTGAAGACGATCCGCGAGATCATCGAGACGTTGGTGCCGCAGAGGGATCGGGACTTGCTGAACGAAGGGTTGAATGTGGACCTCCTGATGCAGCAGTTTGAGCGTGGTGTGCTCGACCTCGAGAAGCTGGCCGGCTGGCTCGCTGGTGTGCTCAAGCTGCACTGTGCACCAATGCGTGACGAGTGGGTCGACGACATGTACCAGGAGCTGAGCAACGGCGCGCGCAACAACGACATGACCGAGGTGGTCAAGGGTCTGCGCAGCTTGCTGAGCGTGCTGGAGGCCATGAAGCTCGATGTGGCCAACCATCAGATCCGGTGTCTGCGCCCTGTACTCATCGAGGATACGGTCAACTTTGAGCAGCGCTACTGGATCCGTCGGGTCGAGCAGCGCAAGGCCTCCATCGCTCCATCAGCCCAATGGTACCGTCGCCAGGCGGCCCTCTATGGCGAGCGGTCAACGGCCTACCGCAGCGAATTCGGCGAGATGACGGCCTTCTTCCACGGCCTGGCTGCTCTCGTCCGCCCGTCGACCAGCATCGCCCAGATCCCTCCATCCTTCCACTTCGACGAGGACCGTCTCTTCAAGCTGCGCTCCGACCTGTACGACTCCATCTGCCTGGAAATCTGCATGCGCAAGTTCGAGGACCTCGAGCGTCTGTCCCGCGTCACCCAGCTCTGCGCCAACAGGATACCTTCCTTCCTGATGATCAGCAACACTGACGACAACCGCCGCACAAGCCATCGCGCCTCCGGCGACTTCAACTTCATGGCACCCGCCTCAACCTCCTCCCGTCCTTCCAGCATCGCCTTCTCCGACCGCGGCTCCGCCTTCTCTTCCCCCCGCACCTCCGCCATCTTCGGCTCCTCGCGTTCCTGCTCCCCATCCCCCTCACCAGCCCCGACCTCCTTATCCTCCTCCTCCTCCTCCTCCTCCTCCTCCTCCTCCTCCTCCCCTTCCAAATCTAAAGATCTTTACGCCTCCCTCGTCGCCCTCCTGCAGACTGCCCCGCCCGCCTTCACCCCCGCCGACCGCTGGCGCGGCCTGGCCGGCTCCCTTGCCGTGCAGATCCTGCGCTATGCTAACGCCCCACCGTCGGTGCTTGATCTGGGCCGGTTTGAGGCTCAGCTCGCGGAGCAGCTGACGAACCCCGCGTGTGATGTGTTCCAAGAGGTGGAGAGATACTTTGGGGAGAAGTTGCTTGCCGAGTTGGCGGGGAAGGTTAGTGAATTTAAGGCCTTGAATGGGTTGCAGCTGTTTAATGTCGCTACGGGGGGGAGTGGGAACTCTCAAGCGAGGAGTGCGACGGCTACGCCATCGGGGAGTCAGACGAGGTTGGTTGCTGCTTTGGGGGGGAGAAGGCAACAAAGGGATCCGAGGGAGGATGCCGGGATCGAGGATATGGCGGTTAGGTTGGCGCATTTGGGGGTGCTGCATTGGAGGGTTTGGGGTCCGTTGGCGTATGAGAGGGATGTAGAGGTTGAGATGGGGTTGCGGCATTGAACGTTCAATCACCTTTACTTAAGACCTCTTTAAAGGGCCGGGTTGAGGGAGGGGGGGGGGAGGGGAGAGGGGAATTTAACCCTACTTAATTAATTAGATTTACAAACGGAAGACCAAAGACGAAAGAAAGAACCTAATAATATGAGGTTAGGGGCGGTGTTTGGATTTGGTGAGGTTTGGGAAATTTTTTTTCTGTTTTTTTTTTTGATCATTCTCTGTCTGCTTTGACTACTTGGATGGGATGTTTCGAGAGTCATCATACTTAAGGGTTGGGACGGGCGTTTTTGCTGCTGCTTGCTTTCTGCTTGCTGCTAGTACTTGATTGGTTGCTACAAGCATATTATCGTCATCATAGTCATAACTGTTGTTGACTTTTGAAGAGCATACCATGTTGTAATTCCATACATACCTAGGTAGTTACGAAGGTAACTACATATAAAGATTCGTTTAGCCAACCTTTAAAAAAGTTTAGCTGTAAGATTTTGTGATTTGTGACGTTGATGCTTGAGATTTTCTAGCTCATAGGGAGACTATTGGTTGAGGAGCTTGAATTTGCTATGCTCATATCGGGGGTAGAGGAACTTGCTACACCACATGATCAACATTCGGGCAATCATTGAGCTCCTAGACGTTGCTTTTTTTTTTTTTTTGCGTCATTTATTCCCTTTGATCCCTTTGAACTCGCTATCACTATCTTCAGTATCGTCCTCATACCATCGTATACCCTTCCCTCTCTCTTTGGTCGCGCGACCAACAATTGCTGATATTGAGAGCATGGAGCCATGGTCGGTTTGAGAAGTTCGATCAGTTCTGGTTGTTTTGAGTTAGAAAGTAAAACCCGGTTGATGCCTTATTTGGACCGCGTCTTATCATAGCGAATGGCACATCAAAAGCTTCTTGGATGAGGTAGGTAGGTCGGTCGGTTTTTTTTTCCAGAATTGCTGCTGCCTTAGTCGGTTGCTGGCCGTTGAGCTCGCTGACGTGACAGCAATGAGTGAAATCTTCAACTTGCGCTCTGATGAAGGAAGAGTTCGATCAACGGGGCCCAGGATACACATAGATGTTTAAAAGTAAAGCAGCGGCAGATGCA